TTGTTGTTGTTGTTGTTGTTGTTGTTGTTGTTGTTACTGTTGCTGCTGCTGCTGCTGCTGCTGCTGCTGCTGCTGCTGCTGCTGCTGCTGCTGCTGCTGCTGCTGCTGCTGCTGCTGCTCGTGCCTTTAGCTGACAGGTCTCAGACCGACCCTGCAACATAGAGAAACCGAGCAGCAAAGGGCAAGTCAATGAATCCTTTAGCACCCGAACAAACCCTACGGGAAACCGTAAGTCCCGAAAACCAGCAGTGGAAGCTTCGGAACGCCATGGCCCACCCCCCTGACAGACCGAAAACTTGCCCAGCTCTACACCCATGCACTGCCCCAGCACTCCTGAAGCCTTCAGCTCTGCCATGCGGCACATGATTTCAGGGCCTCCATCCCCCCAAGCCCTTGCGTCAAGTCCTGAGTGTCCCAAGCACATCAACCCGAAAGGGCGATCAAGAAGCAGACCACTGCATCTCTGATCTTTCAGCCACTTGTGCGGCCATGTGAGAGGGTTTCTCTGCGTGGTTCTGTTATCATGTGTAGGTACCCCATCGCTGCTTCTTCGTTCCGAGGGACATACCTTGGAGGGTTAATCACCGACGACAAGGAAGTACGACCAGGTTTGGTACATAGAGATCAACTCGGAGCAGGCGCTTCCGCACGCTAGTCGCTATCGCTAACGCAGTTAATAGTACGTACTCTTTTTGCATTATAGTGATAATAACCGCAGTAGCAGTAGCAGCAGTAGTTCTTTAGTGGCGGTGGTGGTGGTGGTGGTAGTAGTAGTAGTAGTGGTAGTAAGCATAATCATTATTATACTAGCAGCAGCAGTAGTCGTCGCTGTCGTCGGCGCCGTTGTCCGAGTAATTAGTAGACGTCGGCGCCAAAGTCGCGTAGTAGCGTAGGGGGACTTATTGTGCTAGCGGCAGTTGCTGCGTGCAGTACCCGTGCCGTTGTTGTGTATATTGGCCTTTGCTGGCGGTGCACGGCTCGGTACTTTGAGGAAGACCAAGATGATGTGGGATGTGCAGCGCATTCACGGCAGCAGCGGCAAGAATGCCGGCATTATCAAGGCACTGGTGACATTCTGCATGAAACATAATGTACACTTCGGCGTTATTTTGAAAGATGGTTCCGACTTTGTCTTCCTTCTGACAGTTTGACCGAGGCTTGTATCGCTGCCGCGTCTCTTGTTCCTCGTTGAAGATCTTGTGATTCGATAGGTTGGGGAACCATAGGGAGGTTCACAGTCTTCAGATTGCAGGAGTTGCAACAGTTGACATAGATCGGGCAATCACCTCAGGCAACGATCCGCAGCCCTAGCGGCCCTAGTCCAAACCTCAAGGCCCCAATGCATCCCGAAACTTGTGTTTACTAAACAACATAAGCCGCATGGCCTATCCACCTGTGAGCCCGCCCCTCCAGAAACCCAAAGTTGCTGAGGACTGGAGGTTTCGTTTTTCAGGGCTCTCGTTTTCAGAGCTTTGCATCGAAAAAGCAGACAGGCATGGTTCAGAAAGCACCGGGCGCGCGAGAAGAAGGAGAGGGTCCAATACAGCGCGTCCAGGATCCAGGCAGGGATTCATTAGGACACGACCGGCTCCAGTGATTTATGCACACGTATGCATTGATTACGCATGTGTGTACGTACGCATATTTAGATTACACACACCGATGTATACACATATGCATACATATATATATATACAAATATACACACGGAGACATATCAAACCACGCGCGCGCGCGTATCATCGTGATTTGGTTTCTTGCTCACTGCACGTCACGTCTCCGGTGCATCCTCACAAGCACCAGCCGGAGCATCACTATCGCGACCAACAAACTCGTCATCGACACCATCCCATCGCCATCGTCGTCACAATTAACAACACGCTTGACTGAACAAGCTAGTCAGCATCATGATCCTCTTACGACATCATCCTCCTCATGATCGAAGTTGGCTTGGATGAAAAGTCCTGTTACCAGGAGGGTTTTCGGCATGCGTCTTTTAACCAGCGTACGTGGTTGCTTGCGTCTCTGCATGTTTGTTCTCAACCAAATGTGCCCGGGGAAACTATACAGATGTATGCATACTGGTGCTGCGCTGCACCCAGCTATGTGGTTTTCCTGGGAGGCTTTCGTGTGCGCAGGTGTCGCAGGGGTTTTGCTTTTGGCTGGTTTTGTCGTGCAGACTTGCCCGCCCGTCTCTCAATCTTGTTTATTGTTTCTGTCTCTCTCTCTCTCTCTCCATCTCTGTTTGTCCCTTTCTCTCTCCCGATGGAAATAGTGCCAGGTAGGTAATTAGGTATGTAAGTAGTTCGGTGGGTAGATGTACGCGGATTGTCCGCAACTGTATGTGCGTACATGAACCTGTGTGTCTGGGTGCATCTGAGCACATGCTCTGTCTCGTGTTGTTATTTGATGACGTCGTGGTTTCTGCGTTGCGTTCAAGCTTGGGGACAAAATTAATTCTCCTTGCAGAGATTGTGGTATAGATGTCCTTGAGCAGTGTCTGCTAGGGACGCAGGGAGGCAGGCGTGCAGTGAGGCAGGCAGCTGATGGGCAGGGGCAGTCCAATCAGCGCTAAGTGAGAGAATACTGTGAAGAGGCAGAGCGTCCCAGCAACTGTTGAATTTCTTCGACGGTGTCGACCCCTTGCAACATATTCCCTGCCAGAGCTTTAGACACCCTGGCCGATGAAGCTCAAAAGCAACACCAAGTAACCGTCCGGTTCAACTCAACATTGCCTAAATTGTCGCACGGAGAGCTCTCCTCCACCCGCCGCGGTGTAGATTTGCTTTTTTTCCGTCCTGAGGCCATCTGGCGCGGGATCCTAACGCGGCGGCGGACACGTAGCAAGCTGGCGAGTACCACCCGCTTCCAGGCACGTCTGCAAATTCCTACATGTTGAGTTTGGAAGTGGGAAGAGATAGTGCTAACCTTCCGCAGGAGCTAAAGCCAGGTGCTTCTCGGGGCTTTGGAAGTAAACGCACACTATGCAACGAGCACAATCAGAATCTGAATCTTGGAGACTACGACTTACAGCCACAGAAGACATGGTCCTGTTGCCTGCTATGGCGCGACAAACAATGTATGATCCTACACTTAGCCCTGCAATTGGAACAACTGGGCAGTTCTAGTTTGCGACCGGCAAAAAAAATTAGAAACGCACACTACCAACATCTTCGGTCCGCTTCGATCCCTACAGTCCCTACATGTTCATACGCCCGACGGCCTCCGCATTGTCTCGGCATGCAGGCCTCCTGGCGAGCCTTCGCAGACAGAAGGCACCTAGAAGTTCGGTGGGCTGCGATCGTCTCCATCCAGAAGGCGAGGAAAGACGTGGCTGGCTATAAACTAATACTACTCCTCCTCCTCCTCCTGCTGCTGCTCCTAGTAGTAGCACTACTACTACTACTACTACTACTACTACTACTACTACCAACCTACTACGATTACTTTCACCACCACTACTTCTACAACCACTTCTACCACCGCTGCTGGTTCTACCTCTACCGCTATTACTAGCCTTAGCACCTCAGCACCCATCAACACTACCACTACACCTACCATACCCCACCCCTACCCCTACGCCTGGCACCTCCACTACAACTACCACTACCACGACTGCTACCACTGGCACTACCACTACTTCTACTGCTCGTGCTACACCTGCTGCTCCTGCTACAGCTGCTGCTATTGGTACTTCTGCGGCTACTGCTGCAGATGCTACCTCTTCCGCTGAATGTTTTCTTCTTCTAATTTAGAACTTGCCGGCACCAAGCTGGCACTCCTGGTAACATCAAAGATTTGGATTCGATTGTTGTGGTGATATCCGTCACTATTACCGTACTCACCGTCATCGTTCCATCCCGCTCCTTTTTCATCGTCGCTCACATCGTCACTCTCGCTTCCATCACCAGAATGGATGGCCATACTGGTTCAATAACGCCACGAAAGGCAGTCGTATCGTCGTAACCAATACTACGGCACTCTCTGCAATATGACCATGCTTGCTACCATTGTCGTCAGCAGAGGCATTCACCCTGAGCCTGTCCGCAGGTCATTCGTGGCTACATCCACGGTCGCAACTGGCTGCGTATGCGGCACAAGTCGGCCGCGAGGATTCAGGTGGGGGCAGTTGGACTTCCTTCACACAGTCGTTTAGGAGAGTGCAGGGTGTGGCGTTGCAGGAGAGAACATAGGAATGTCTTTTTTCGTCCCCAGCCTCGAAGCTTAAATCCCAACCCTTCCTGGATGCCCTGTTCGGAGGCCCTGGTCCGGGGAATCTTCCAGCGACAGCGACATGCGAAGCGGCTTGCAGCAGCCATTCGCATCCAGGCAGTGGGTACTACTTGTACCTGTAAATACAGATGTCAGCACTATCTATCTATCTATCTATCTATCTATCTACGTATCTACCTAATCTACCTGTCTATTTGTCTAGCTATCTATCGATGTGTATGTTGAAATGTGTCGGCATATGAAAAGGTATGCATGTATCTCTATGATGACATTTAAATAGATACATACATACGCAGGTGGAGATTTACATATACAAAAAGAGACAAAGAATGAGAGAGTTAAAGGCATAGACAAGACCTAGATGCAGATGCAGATATAGCGTATGCTGAAGGTTCGCTGTATGCCTACACATGACTGTGCATATGTGCATATGCACGCACAAACTGACATAGAAAGGACACGTACGACGAGCATATATTGGAACTGGCGGGGCAGAATTATGCAACACGAAAGGCGCAGTTGTATAGTTGCGTAGGCATGCACCATCATGAGCCCAGCAGCGCCCGGAAGCGCTGTTGCACATCACTTTAAAGCTCCTTTGCCAAGCCAAAGTGGTACTGGCTCCTGTGCTGACATGCATGCATGCCAATACAACCATTGTCCGGCATGTCAGTTCAACAACATAGGCATGTAAACAGACCGTGGATGCAGAACCGCATTAAGTACAACAACGGTGTCATCGGCACATCGGCAGTTACTGAGACTAGTGGCCAAGTCTTCGCCCCACAATGGACAGCATGGTTCAGCTAACACAGTATATTGGTGTTACAGTGAGACACTGGCAGGGGCCTGTACTGAAGCAATGTAGCTGTTCACGGAAGTACGGCCGCTGCGGCCGTATCAGAAATTCAGCATCCGCGAGGGCATGGACTTGGCTATGTGTTGTTGTACAGTAGTCGCGTGACTGATGCGGCTACAGTCAGCCTAACAGCCGAATCACTGTAGCTATCTCCAAGTGGCGATGCAGCAAGACGAGTTATACTCTTACAGCATGAGAGCGGGAAAAAATGTGAATGCAGTAATTAGTTGTAGGCAGGACCCAGAAGTGATGCGAACAGTCGTGGGATAGCCTCGATGCTTTTGTTGTGTGTGTGCGCTGCCGTCAGCGTAAACCCAGACGTCCCAAATCTGTACCCGCTGGGCCTCTCATGCCTTGGAAACCCCAAACCTGGGACTGTCTTAATATGGAAGCCTCAACAGTTACCTATATTATTCCTTAGGGCTCCTTCTTATAATTATTTTTTAATGGGCCCCGAAACCCTATTCTAATTCTTAAGGCCCCTACATTATCTGGGCAGGCTCGCATTCGAGGCCTCTTTGATCGGAAGCAGGCACACGGGCAATGGGGTGCTGTTCAGGGTTCGTTGGCTTCTCAGGGTTCAAAATTTTCACAACTGGAGGTTCAAGGTTTAAGTCGGCAAGCAACTGCCATTGGTTTAACACGTATAACAACAGTTACTTCTACAGCTGCTGTTGTTGCTGCTACTACTACTACTACTGCTACTGCTACTACTACTACTACTACTACTACTACTACTGCAAGTACCTACTAAAGAATGTTTCTTCAACTTCTACAACTACTACACTACTACTGCCACTACTTCTGCTACTATTTTGCACTGCTCCGGATTCTATTCTCGGTTTGACCATGAATGTCATTGCTCGGGTTCCTACCACTGTCAAAGCCTGTGCTGCTTGGGTTGAAGGTTCGGAATATCCAGACAGCTGCTACGAAGCTCCAGCGGAACTGGCGGCGCTTTCAGGCACAACTGCAGGCAGCTTGGTGGTTTCAAGTGTCGGGTTTAGGATGACTCAGTCCCTAGGCCCGAGTTACGGCATCCATCCAACAACTATGATTAACAGTATCAAGCACCAATCAGCGGCCCTGCCGCGGCTGATCAATCTATTTCCGCACAGATCCTTATGGTCCCTATATATGTTGAATGCTAGAATATGACCCCTTGGCAGTCCCGATTATTCTTGCTATTAAAGCCCCCTCTGTTTTCCAATGGGGCCTCGTCATACACGCTGCAAGCAGCCTCCGATCGTGTTGTTGGGTGTAGGCCCCGTAGTACTAGCTCAGAAGGCCCATGGAAACAGCATCAAACCCGATCTCCGAATAACTCCAACCATCCCAAGGCCTGAGGCCGAAAACTCGATACTGGGTTCTGGTTAAAGTTAATTAAGGATTTCTTAGTTTAAGTTACCAGAATAGGGATCTATAGCAAATAATATAGTTTCTTCATTATGATACCTTAAATCCCTTAACAAGCACCCAGTTCAAAATTCTGTCCTCTTCCAAGTCTTGCGAGCTCGTAAACTACGTCTCAGCGTGGCCGCCAAGAGTCTGAACTCCTAAACCCGAAACCCTGAACAGTATTTGGACCGTAGAAGTATATTATAAGACCTACTGTAGTATACCACGAGAGACCATAATGTACCATAGTATACCAAGGGAAAGCCACCAACCCGATGTTAACCTTGTAGAAGCATTTCGAAGATGCACTGAAGCAGAAGGTGAAGCAGATGGTCTACGAGCGCATGGAGGTTCTCCGTTTGAAGCGCTTGGATATCCTGCGCCGGAAGCTCCAGGTGGCTTTTTTTCCAGCTTCCCAAAATCCCTTGGACTATATGACTATACTTTAATCTATATTAAATATGTAGTAGGATCCCTAATATGACTTAAAGGTAGATTGATGAATTCAGGGATATTGGAAAGTTTGGGTTGTTGCCAATGACAGCCTTGAGGGTTTAGCTGCTTAGGGCTGCGGGGCGGGGGGGGGGGTGTCGTTGCCTTTACGGCTTTAATTCGGGTCTCAAGGCTTTCGGGTCTTGGGGTCCCATGATTGTAATTCACGATGTCGGTATAGGGTTCATGGTTTAGGGTTGCAGTTTGCAGCTCATGCGCCAATGCTCAGCTACATGCAAGAAACGTTCAATAAGGGGCACGGATCGAAGGTTGTCAGTCGTCGATTCTTCGCACAAGTTGCCCTAGTGGCGTGTCCAAGATGATTGCATTCCACCCCATGCAGGTGGCCGCCAGTGTCGTTCTGCAGAGGAACTGGAGGCGGCATGTGGATGCTCAAAATGCTTTGGAGGAGCCGAACAGATCAGCCTGTAAGGGATGCCGGGTTCGTGTTCAAGTCCCGCTTGTTTCTCCTGCAAGATCGTACGAGCTCAACTACCCAGGCACTTAGCTAGTTCGAATCTCCCAGCCTTATGAGATCTACCAGGAGCGAAAAGAGAAGGGCGATGCGGACAAGCGCACCACGACGATGCCGATTGCCACAATTAAGGGTTTTCGTGACTTTCGGTTGTCGTCCTCGCGACCGTGGAAGCGTCAAGGTTGTGCCAAGAATGAAGAGTGTTACTGAAAGTGCTTATATTATCGTACCTAGGTTGTGCACAAGCGGTAAATTTCAACAACGGCTTCTTCAACAACCTAGCTGCTAGCTAGAGAGTTCCAGAGGCGCTGTTGCTGGCGATCGATTCCTGATGCATGCAACATTTGATGGGTGAAGTTTCTGAATGCTTTGTCATTGTCTGCCCTATATGAATATTCGGCGATATACAGTGCATCTGTATGTGTATATGTACATTTACATATATGTAAATGTGCTTGCGCGTTTTGTACAGAAACACCAACGCGACCGTCACTGGCAGCACCAGCCACGATTCCATTAATTAAGTGGCAGGCTACGCATTCGTGTGTAGACAGATGTAGCTAGAGCGTTAGTAGACGGCCCCTGAACCAGATAGATAGCTGCATTGACCGAATGGAGCAACATACATAGATATGTTGTTAGAATGCTGGATGGAGGGAGTGAGGAAGACAGGTTCGGATGGAGGGGAAGTTCTCTTTGTTTCTCCCTCCCTCTCTGTCTCCCTCCTATCTCTGCATAGATGCCTCTATAACGATCCATGTATGTATGCATGTATATATGTATGCACACGTAAAGTGCTGCATTTCGACACGGCCGCGAGTTCGATGCTTGGCTTCCTGACCCCACCGCGCCATGTGGCTTACCTATAGTCTCCATTGTAGTTCCTTTTTTTGGTTTAACCAATTATATATTAAGGATTTTATATGGTATCCCCAAAAAGGAACTACAATGGAGACTATAGGTACTATGAGCGTAGCATCGTCCAGGCTCGTCGCACTTTTCCAGGGAGCCGCTGCGTTGCGCCACTACATCCACCCCTGGCGACTGGGGCGTAAGTTTTGGGAGTTCTTTGGGATCCAAGGGTTTATTGAAGTTCCCTGAAGCAAGGTCGCTTCGGAAGTCGAGATTAGGATTTGGTAGCTGGGCCTTGCTTGGGTATGAACTGCAGTTCCCGGGGGGGGGGGGAGGTAGGCTTGTGGGGTTCAGGACGTAAGCCTTTCAGTTCAGATGACACAACCAGAGAGCCCGTGGTCTGCCGCTGACCTAGCAGACCTAACGCGGTCGTGACTGGGAGTTCCAGAAACCTTACACCTCCAACCCTTGAGGGGCAGCAAGTCATTCAGATGAGGTAGAGATGCTCCCACGATTGAAGGGTTGGGCTCAGTGCTTTGGGTTGAGAAGTTTCCATGCACCGCCCCGAATCTGCATGGCCAGACATTTTCCGCCGCGCTCCTCAATTCAAGAAGTTGACTGGGGGCGTTGATGTTTGGTTGATGACCCAATCTTCATATAGTCTCCGAAAGTCTGCACGCAGCATGCAGTATAGACCTGCCCAACACATGATACGCGTATCATTATTTAGGCCCCTGATTCCTCAACTAGGCTACAACTGTTGGCACAACAACAACAACAACAACAACAACTACTACTACTACTACCACCCACTACTAGCCACTGCTAGCCACTGCTAGCCACTACTAGCCACTACCAGCCACTACTACTACTACTACTACTACTACTACTACTGCTGCTAACACGACTACCACCACCACACCACCACTACGACCACGACCACCACGACGCCGACTACTACTACTCCTGCTGCTGACCCAACAATCCTAACGTTACCATGCGAAAACTCAAAGACCCCAACCCTACACCAACCCTGACAGGTGGCGGCATCTACCGCCTCAGATCCAAGCCATTCTGAAGGAGCTCAAAGGCCCGCTCCAAAGGACTGGAGCTGCACACGGTGTTTGAGTTGTGGTGTTTCCCCCTGACTCGCCCCGAAATCCTGTCAAGTTTGTTCCGTGGACAGTGGAGAGTTTACAAAAGCTTCGGCTCTTCCAGGATGGAGGCTCGAGCTCCCTGGACCCCTTGGAAACAACGACTTATCGTGTTGTGGTCGCTGAGGTCAATTGGTGTTGGTGTTCCTGTACTAGGGGGAGAGGAATATGCAGTTCGTGTTCAGAAGAAACGCAATTTTCAACCAGAAAGTAGCTGACAACAGTAGTCGACATGCATAAATACATACAAACACATCCATCCATACATACATAACATACATAACATACGTAACATACATGCAGGCATAGTTCCAGACGAGTGTACGTGTCGTCTGGCAGGAGCATTGCCTTGCTCCCGGTATCCGGAAAGCTCGGCTCTGAAGAGCTGGGGCGGCGGGGCCTCAACGTGGCTGGAGTGGAGCACCTCCAGTTCCGCAGCAGACAAGGATGAGGATTTAGAGTTTAGAGTTCGGGCCTAACTTAAGCGAACCTCTCTGGTTTCAGGATTTCGCGAGTAGGGGTTGAAGATGGTTGAAGAGTTTATGGTGGGTCAGGATCTGAGGCTGCCCTCAGGGACCCATAATCCGATGCACCATTCGTTCGTATCGGATCAGCCTCTGCCAGAATCTGCAAGAGACATCGTTCGGCCTTCACCTGACTGTGTTGTTGTTGAGGTCGTCACATCAAGCCTTCAGAAAAAAAGAGTCCGTTGTATGGGTACACATTGATGACTGTAGGAGGATTCGGGTCGTTCATTCTTTGACGAGTAAAGCAGTGATGATGTTTGACCCCAGCATTGGAGATTTGACGTTTGTGTTAACCTGTTTCGAAAGCAGCATAGTGTCACCTTCTGGAAGAGATTCCTGTAGTTGTGACAAGTTGGCTCCCTTGCAAGACCCCGAAAGGAAAACACACGGCGCTACATCCCAGTACAAACTTGTCCTCCAGGGTCAGCACAGAGCAATGTTGACTTTGATGTCTACATGTTTCCTATAGCGCCGTCCAGTGACCCCGTCCGGGGCTTTGGCTGAGGTGCCCCCAGACATCAAAGGATCCGGACTTGGCTTCCCACCTCCTCCTCCAGGTGGGCTTTAGGATGCCGGCGATGATGCTTATTTGATGATCGACGTGTTGATGCCGGTGCCGGTGATTGTGGAGATGATGCTGATGACGGCGTTGAAGAATCACGGTGGTGATGATGCTTATGTCGATGATAGTGCCAGCGATGGTCATGATGGGAACGACGATGGTGGTCGACATGATGAAGTGCTGGTGCCGTTACTGTGGTGGTGGTGGTGGTGGTGGTGGTGGTGGTGGTGGTGGTGCTGGTGGTGGTGCTGGTACCGTTGCGGCTGCAGATGCGTCGGCGTCAGTGGTGTCGATGACGGCAGTGTCGAGCACATTGGGGGTGCGGCTGGCTCGAGTTTGGACTCTAGGATTCTGTTTGCAAGCTGCTCGGCATTCAAGGCCTGAAATTTCGGCAGAGATGCAAGTCTGCAGCACTAGATTTCGGTGCTCTAGTTCTGCGCTGCCACTTGAGCATTGGTGGGGCAGCAACAGCAGGTCAATCTGAAAATATTCTCGACGTCAATTGTTTCGGTAGTGAACGGATCCTCCTAAACCCTAAACCCCTCACAAGACACGGACAGGTGTCTAAGTCAGCGGAAAGGGCAGGAGAACCAACCGGGGACATGGCGGCCAAGCCAACCCTAAACAAACCCTGCCTTTAATATAGGAGCCTCAAAATGACCCATACTATTTTTGGGGGGGTTCCTTAGTATGGTTTTAGTATAATATACCCCGAAACCCTATCCTAACTATTAAGGCCCCTACATTACTTGATAACGTTCTCTGCGTGGGGATCTCGGGCTTGGGGTGGCAAGCGAAGGTCAGCCGACACCTGCTTTCGCACGTGCCTGCAGAGCTCTTTCCCGAGACCGTGAAGCCTTCCGGCAGCAGACGCTTAGGATTTCAACAAGGTATCCGGCAGTGAGCAGCCCTATACAGAGATAGAGAGAGAGAGAGAGATAGAGACACACACACACACACACTAGGGCACAGAAAGAAACACGCGCACACACACACACACATGCATACATTCATGCCGAGCGGAAACCAGGAAGAAAAGGCATGAGGCCGAGACAAAACCCCCTGTGTCCCGTGTTGCCGTTGCAGATGCCTGAGCCGAGAATGCCAGGGAGTTCGTGAGGATTCTGTCCCGCTCGCCGACCTAAGCACTATGTCCACTTAGTCTGCAACGTTTACACGCAAAATTCGAAACCCAGGAACCCTGTGAATCCGTCGTAAAGTTGTTATGTATAATCATATGTCTATATATGTTTTAGACGTGTATATATATATATATATCTGTATATATGTATGTATATATAGGTAGATAGATAGATAGATAGATAGATAGATACTGCCGAAGAATCATCTGCGGAATTTCGAAGGTGCTAGGGAACTCGCATGGGCTGTTACAAGGTGGGCTTGCTACGCCATCGGCCATCAAGCTGTGAAGCTTTACCACACCAAGGGCTTCTACACCCAGGCCAGCTCAAAGTCTGCGTGATAATACATATTGAAGGATTTAGGGTTTATAGGGTTTAGGGTTTAGGGTTATTGAAGTATATATGCCATACTTATATATCAGACTACCCGACGATAACATACCAGAGAGATGTATAGAAGACGGCATATAAGAGTGGCTTAGAGCGATGCGGCCTCGAAAAGACTACTGTCTCGAAGCCTAGCTCCATCGGTTTGCAGATGAGGGTTAGGGTGTCGGGGGATCGTCTCGCATCAAACCCAAGTTCCGAACAGCCCAGCAAGCCTGCGATGTTTGCAAACTCTGCAGTGCCCAAGCAGCTTGGCAGACTTGGCTTTCTTGCTATCAAGTGCTCGCACCTTTAGCCCGCAATCGTTGTACAGAGCCACGAAAGCCTCAAAGCCACGGCCTTAGTCCAAAACCCCTAGACCCCTGAACCAAGCCCGACGTAGCTCCAACTTGGCTTCAGGAGGAGATACCTGTCGGCAAGGAGATGCCTCCGCACCCCAACGACAGCCTCCACTCGCTCTACAAGGACTCAGTGGAATTTGGGATTCAGGGTTCAGCAATATCCTTCGATTATGCCAGCATTTTCGCTTCTGGAGACTTTGAGGACTGTAGATGCCATGGCGGGGGGGTTTGGGTAAGGTGTTGTTGGGGGGGTTAGGGGTTCAGATGGTCTAGAACCGGGGTTCATTAAATCAGGTTTCAGGCTGCAGGTCCCCCACCCTTGACTATGAGCCGCGCGGCATCGCCGATCCTTCGCCAACCCGAAGTCTGGGAAGAGGTACTCTACATGGGGTTTCGGATTGTTTAGGATTTTGGATTGGAGTTTAGGTTTTTAGGGTTTAGTTTAGGGGTAGAACCCTGAACTCTAGATCCTGCACATGCCCCCGATACCTGCAGGATATGGATACCTACAAGACGCGCACGGACTCGATGATGGCTTTCCCTGGGGAGGACTTCATGTTAGAGTTAGGGGTTTTGAGGAGCAAGGTACATGTCTGTCAGTATTGGGTATCTAAGAACCTTTGGAGTGAGAACCTTCAGCGCATATAGCTGAGCTCAGGGACGAGAGCTTTTGAGAACTGGGTAAGGAGTAAGGCTTGGGCTGTTCGGCGGTAGAGGCTAGAAGTCTAAGTAGGCGGCACCCTTGACATGAACCCATGCAGCCGGACGGCGGGATGAAAACTGTTCGGGTTCTATTCTCACACCCCTCTTAGTTTAAACCGAAGCTCTGTGCGAAGTCAAAGCGCACCTGGCCTAGAGCAAAGTGTGGCCCTGCATGAATAAGGGCTTCTGTCGCTCTGGCGGGACAGAGTCAGAACGTCCATCAGGAGCCCCAGATCAGCTTACTCTGGCCATATGGGGGTTTCCAAAAATAGGGGACCCTAATATAGTACCCTGAATAATAGGATCCTTAATATAAGGACCCCCAAATAAGGTACCCCTAATTTTCGGAAACTCCCATAGAAGTTTAGTTTGCAAAGGCTTACTTCGGTTGGTATGGTGTAGAGTTTAGGGGTAGAGCATAGATTTCAGGTTTCTCGAAGTTTCGTGAGGCCCTGACCCTTGGGTTGCTTTCGACTGTCCTGTGCCCAGAAGTACCCCGAAGTAGAGCTGCAGCAGACGCCTGATTTGTCGAACGGGACTTTCAACACGAACATGTCAGAGGTTTGAGGTCTTGAGGGCAAAGCCACCTCGACTGAAAGCCCTACTGATCTTGACGAGGTTTTCAGGTTTACAGTTTAGGGTGTAAGGTTTTGAAGGTGGATGGCAATTTGTAAGCCGTTCTTTGGATTCAACGCCGCAACGTCGTACCGGTATGGCAGGTCTAGGGCAAGCTCGAGATAAAGACTGAGTATCGTAAATACAACCGTAAGATAGAAATCTTCACCCATTAAACAGCTCTAGGACATAATTGCTGAAAAATCCATTTGTCTCCGTGGGAAGGCCATGCCGATGTTAACCCTAGCCGGCGCCTGGGCAGGGCAATGCAGAATTGCAGGGCTTAGGTATTGAGGTTTCGGGATTGACGGGCTAAGAGCTGGAGCTTCCGAAACCGTAGGATGTTGCACCCGGTTAGCGGCCACACGCGGAGAGGCCTGCAGCCCATCTCCAGGCCTCAAACCCTAAACCCTAAAACCCTAAAACCCTAAACCCTAAAACCCCTAAACCCCCTGTGGGACTTTGACCAAAAGCCCTACAAAGTCCGAGCGTTGGGTCGAGGGCGCGGGTGTTTATGACCCCATCAAAGTGAGAAAAGATGTCGAAGATGGCTGTACCAAAGTAGCAGAGCCAAAGCGCTGCAATCTTCCACCCAACATGCATCCATGTCCAGAGACTGCAATCGTTCCCAAACATATTTGGCACAGAGACCGAAAACGTTACTTCCATCGCTCTCCGAGTTGTGCCAAGGAATGCCGTCCCATCATCGGCATGTTTTCCTCACTGCAGAGGTCTTAGTCACCATGAGGCAAGGCGTACTAAGCTTGTGGCCTGAACCTCTAAAGTGGTTCCTACCAGTCATATGTTTGGGTATATGTAGTAGATCTAGCACACACACACAATATATATATATATATATGTCAACATAGAGATTTAACGTGTGTGTAATTCTGCATACAAAAATATAGAATAGTGCGTGTATGTGTGTATATATATATATACATATATACATATTACGCATGCGTACATACATCGTATCTGCACATACGCACAGACACACGCACACACACACATACAGACAGACACACGTATTCATACATACATAATCATACATACAT